AGTTGTTATATTTTAAAATCTAACTTTTCCAGCTTTTTTGTATGCGAAATCTCTTATCAAACTAGAAAAATCTAAATTTTCAGCTATATCTTGCTCGATTGATAACATATCGATTGATAACATAGATATAGAAGTCGATCTTGCAACATGGTGTTTCTTAAATATGTTTTGATTAACTTCAGTTTAGAAAAACTACGTTCTCCACTAGCAACAGTAACAGGTATTGTAAGAAGAATGCGCAGAACAATCCATTTATTTGAATATAACTCTTGTAGACAATGTTTTTTAATAAGATTCAGTACAAAAAGTGGTGTCATCTCTTTTGTATTTATTTCATTTTCAACATTGCTTAATTTATCTTTTATAAAAAACTGCACACTTATTAGTTCATTGCATAGCAAAGCACCATCGATTTCTGATTTTGTATTTACAGTTAATTTTTTAACAGTTAATTGTAAAAAAATTTTCAACTTTTTATATAATTTTTCTTCAAATTATCAACTTTTTCTGCTTTACGTTTTCTGTATTGAGCACCAGATGGTTTCTTATTTTTATGAGTTTTAAAAACATTTTTTTCTTTATTATGAGTACTCTCCATTGATTGCTGCTGACAGTTTCTATTTGTCTAAAATTTTAAAATAAAAAATTACTCGCAAGCTAAAAATTCCTAAACAATTTCATTATTTATACTTACCTGCTTTTTATTACCGCAAAACTTGAAAACTTGACAAAAACTGAATTTGAATCACAAATACAACTTTAAATTTCTTCTACAAATTAAAAAACGACGCGCTCGCAACTCGTACTGAAAATAATGTTTAAAATTTAAACTTTAAATAAATGGAACGCAAAATAATTGGCGCCGAGAAAGATGCAATTAAAAAAATGATTTTAAGTATCAAAATATATGCTATGATTGAAACACTTTTAATCAAATTATTGATTTTACATAAACAATTTTTAACAGTGTAATAATTACAATAAATAAATTATTTAAAGAAATTATTTTTATAAAAAAAACAAACATTCGAAAGAATAACAAAAAATCGAAAATCGAAATCGAAAAAATTTAGGTTGGGGATCGTCCATAAACAACACAACGCAAAAAATATTTTAATAACAGGAGTAGAAGGTATTAGGCTCTTTTACGCGGCGATTTTCATTTGACTTGATTTCCTATTTTCATTGTTTATTTAAATTAAGACTGTGCGAGGGAAAACTTTTGATCTTTTTTGTTTTGTTTTTTGTAAAACTTTGCGTTACGTAATTTATGAACGTTCCCTTGACTTATTTTTTCTATTTATTATATTGTTAAAGTTTGCATACAACGTTTGGCGCCCCAGTTTCATGGCGCCCTTGGGCGGGGCCCAACCTCGCCCCCCCGCCCCTAAGGCCGGCACTGGTTATTATTATTATATAGTTAGGCATTGGTCTTAGAAATCTAACCTCACAAACCAAATTTGTGAGATTTTCAAGGTGAACTTTATTTTATTCCATTTCCCTTGTTATGTTTTCATCCGTTGCTTTCACCAATATTTTGTATTATAAATGAATTAATGAAATTACAATATATTTGTTTTATATATTAAATATAGAAATTAGCTTCCAAATACTTAATAAAATTTATACATTGGACACAATGTTGTAAGAGGCGTGCAAGTGTGATTATACATTATTTCAAAAAGGGATACTTTCGTATACTGTTGCTTCTTCACTCGTGGTGGGTATAAAACAATATTAACAAATTTGTTCCAATTTGTTTGATTTTCATTAACCAGTTTTCTTAATTTTCTAAATACAAATTGCGTTTACATTAAATAAACGAGATAAAATTTGAATAATTTTGAAATACAAACAAAAACATAATAGCACGCAATGAAATGCATTTGATAAATTTTAACTATGCAGTCAGTATGAGACAATTATAAATAGAACACGTTTGAAAGAACAAAAAACAGAACGTTTGACAAAACAAAAAAATAATTGCATTTATGTTACTAATTTTGAACTAATTTCTATTAAATAAATTTAATAGAATTTGTTCGTCTTTTAAGCGGTCCTTCCCCAAAACAAAAAACACTATCACCTTTTTATATTTTGGTGTTTGTTATTAAGTTGGTGTTTTCGTCTTGTCCATTGCATTGTGGATGATATTGATGCTGATTTTCTTTTTTCAATACCTACATTTTGTATATTTTATCGTGTAACTAAAAAATTAGGAGTAGTTATAAAAAACTAACAATTCCTTACGAATTATTAGTTTTTATTAAATCACTACATTATTTTCATTTATTTTTTACTTGGGTACAAAAAACAGATCCATTATCTGAAAGTATTGCCAAAGGAAATCCAAAAATTGTTACTAATTTATTAATTGCTTTTGCAACAGTGATGGCTTCTTTATTTGGTAAAGCATGTGCAACCGATAACTTAGAAAACAAACCTTTAAAATTTAGAAAATATTTGTTGCCTATTTCTGTTTCCGCAAAGGGTCCAGCAAAATCAATACCCACAATTTCCCATACTCGATTTGTCTAAAGTTATTAAATATAAACAATATAACAAGATTTTATTTTGCTTTTTAACCTAATCTGTTTTTTAATTTTCAATAACAAGATATTATTTTATTTTATAATCAAAATTAATTTTTAAGTTTTATTTTTATTCTAAATTAATCTATATTAGGTTACCAAATATTCAGCGAATAAATAAAAACTATTGTTTAAACTAATCGAAACTGCTTTCATAATAACGGGAGTTTTGTTGTATGGTATCATCATGAATAACCCTGTGTTTTTACATGTTCTGTATACTTTATCTGCATTGAATATTTTTTTTTGGTGGTTTTATGGTTTCTTACGCAAAAGCCTTGTCTTACAAGATTAGTGTTTCAAAGAGCTGGATGAGAAACAGAGAGACAGTTGATATAAGTTAAAAAAATAGTTAATTATTTTCTAGAACACAATCAAAAATATATATTCTTCGTTCCTTTTCTTCTTTCGTAGTGCCATTGGTTTAATTGAATATATATAATATAAAAATTATGTAAAGTCTTTTTATTGTTATAGAAATCATTCTAACCTTTATTGAACGTAACGGCTCTGCTGATGAACAAAGTGTATTAGATGTTTGACATTGTTTACATTGCTTTACCTGTGGAAATAATAGTTTCAACTTTGATTCAGTTTTAACTGATTTAATTGTGTAGTTGATGATTACCTACCCATTTTAAAATATCCGTAGTCATATTTGGCCAATAGTACTTTTCCAAAATTTTTGACTTGGTTTTTGTTTCACCGCTACGCCCTCCCAAAGGGCTTCCGTGTTCCTCAGTGAAAATCTTCATTCTTTCTTCTTCACAATGTATAATTTCAGCGAAATAAAGATTTCCGTAGATTTTTACTTTCCGTTTTAGCTTGTTTTCTTCAAAAAAAGTTGTTACACTTTTTTTTGTAGCTTGGAGCAATATTTTTACTAAACTAAAAGTTACAAAAATGTAAATTACCTTGCACAACGTAACTTCGAGATAAATCTCTTAAACTTGGTTTTCCTTTTTTTTTAAACCAGCAGGACAAGTCTTTTCCGTTAAGTATTTGAACGCATTATTAAAATAAATTTTTTTTTTTTTTTCACCGTTTGACATCGTTGTCACAATCAACACACTAATTTACTGATTTGCTTGTAACATTGGAAGGTGTTTATGCATTCAATATTTAAATTTGAGTAGGTTTAAACTGCCACTTTTATTTCTTAAAAACTTATTTACTTATTTGTGGACAAAGCATTTAAGAAGGTCGATTTTATAGTAACGTTGATAATGGTTTACTTAAAAAAATGGCAAAACCACAAGACTGATTTTAATAAATATTTTAGGCTTATTGTAACAATGATTCACGTTGGATTGATTTATGATGAAAAAAATTCGATTTTTTCTTTTTTGCAAAACGTTGTTGGTCTTAAATTGCAAAGTGTTTTAAAATAGAAAAAGGAAGTAATTAAAGCTAGCAAACACTTTATCCAATCTTAGTATTTTTCTTTGATAAATAACTTTTGTTAATAATCTTGTTGGCATTTTTTTATCGCCTAGTTAAGCAATCAATAAGTAATAATGTAAAACCGATTAACAACTACTAACCGATTTCTTCAGTTCATTTTCAGAAGCCACTGCAACCCTCAAGCTGTAACAAAAGTGAGACTATATTTATGTTCGTCTGTTTAATAAAGCAGGTATGATCCCATTTTTTAAAAGTTGAGGGTTGCATAGCAGCATTTCTCAAGTTAACGTATTCAACTTTACTTGAGATAAACTGTCAATAAAAATGTAAATCGATCTGCATGTTGCCATTTATGGGTCCGGTGTCACCAGGTGGAATGGATGATTTTCTCCCATCCTTAAATAGAGACACTCAAATGTATTAGGGTCTTGGTAACCCGAAAACTTAAACATGCAACAATTGACAATAAAATCTTCAAAACAAAATTAAACAAAAAGAAAGATAAGACCACTCCCTGGATCCGTCGAAGCTTGTTTCTAAGATTTTCTTTTAACATTTTTTCATCTTTTTTTATAATTGTTTAGATTATTTTTAATTTTTCTCTTTTAAACTAATAACTTTTTCATTTCGACTTTGCTAGGTGATATTAAATTCACATTTTAAAGAGGTCCCAACGGGCATTCGAACATTTAATCAACGTTTAGTTAATGTTCGTTCTAAATGTTTAGATTTAATTTAGTTTTGATCTAGAACGTAGGTCAATCGAATGTTCCATTTAAACCATATCTAAATGGTTCGATTTAAACGCTACTTAAACTCCATCTAAATCTTTCGTTTTAAACTTAGCGACGTTTAACTTTATTTTACGGCGCTTATTTAAAGAAGCATAAATAAAAGAAATACTGATAAACGAATCAAACTTTTCTTTTATTTAAGCTGCTTTAAATTAGCGCAACAAGAAAGGTTAAACGCTGAACGCATCATCTAAATAGGCATAAACAAATCAAACGTTAAACAGATAATTCTTCCTTTATATAAGTCTAAAATACAAGTAAAATCATTTTATTTATTATTATATGCATTATTGTATTCGTCATCATGATCGGCTCCATAATGATCATCGTCATCTTTGCTTGAACCGATTAAGCTACTTCGTCTTAAGAATTAGAAAAAAAGACATAACCTTTCCTATTTCCACCTATACGGAAGGAAGTTAAGGTGGGAACCAATGCACGATACTGTATCGCGGATACCGAAGTCATACAATCTCTTTTCTAAAAATAATAAAAATAACTCAATAAACATCTTCATTCTATTCATTTAAATTATTCATTTAACAACTTTACAAAGCCATAGTTTTATAGAATGTAAAAGAATATACATTAGTACATTGAGTAAATATAATAACAATTGATAGAGAACTTTTCTTTAACACTCTGTAAAATCTATAACATTTATATAGTAAAAACGTTATTAAAAAAACTTGTAGTTTGATAACTTCCATTATCGATTGTCTTGAGGAGCAGTAGGTATACTCAGTATCATGTTTGATTGAAACTTTCTATTCAATTGAAAAGTTGTGAAGATACCGACAGTTTCACTACAATATAAATAAACATTTAAAAATAAAATTGTAATTCTTAAAATTCTTAAAGTTAAAAACTAATCAATAAACATAATAGTTAAAATTTATATACCAAAATCATATAAGTACTCAAGCTAAAAATTAAGTATTACTTGATCAATCCATTAGTTTGTGTTTTGATATAGCAAATATGTGAGGATGGTTTAACTAAAATGTAAATCCGAGTGTATATTGTTTGACATATGTTCATTACAATTATTATTAGTCTTCAAAAATGTAAAGTAGGACAACTTCCTTGCATAATCAATTGAATATACTTGCGGTACCACATCCATAATCTTTTTGTATAGTTAAACATTTGTAACTTTTTTTTTTATACTTGAATGCATCATGCATGCATTCTCTATTATAATTTAGCATGCATGAATAATGCGTGTAAGTATTTCTAGCACTAAGGTCTTCACATTTCATCTGTATTTTATGTTTATTGTAACATCAGATTAGCTAACCTGTCAATATTCATACCTTTTGCAATAACATTAAAATAAAATTATTCTTCATCTGAAAAATAAAAACTATTTTACTATACCGTAAAAATGAATAAAAAATATATTATTACTTGCTTTAAAAAGCGATTTATTTAACTTTTAGTGCAATTTTCCCATAATTAACCATTTCAACTGTAATTGTATTAAACTAGTACTATTAACTCCGAAAAAATTAAAAAAAAAATTAATTTAGATTAGAATAATGCAAAATATGGATTACTTATATGATATTATTTTCAGTTTATATTTTATTAGTTTTTATATAAACAATAACAAATTAAAATAAAACTTTTTAAAGAGTTGCATAATCAGTAATTTTGCGCTTTTTTGTTATCTGCTGATTATCAATGCCTTTTAAGTTTCTGTTATTTAAAACTTATACAATCTTCATAACAAATCTGTAAAAGGAATAACAAAACATCTTAACCAAAGCAATGACAAACAAATTTAAAAAGTAAATTATTTGACATTTTGTGAAAAAAAATTATAATATCACAAATTAAAATAACAACTCAATAAAATATTAGGCTTTTGGTTCTTCCAACCAAACAGCCTGGCAATATGACATTTGGCTGAAATGATAACACTAATTTGGTTGAAGGTATATCAACACATAACGTTAACTTGTAACTAAACTTGTTAAAAATGTTTTAAATAAGTTAAGTCATTAAGTTTTTTACCTTTTTTTGCTGACTTTAAAGACTCGAACAATCATCAACGTACCTTTCAAATAAACAAGAAGTCCCTTAAATCTTACATTATTTTTTTAGCGTTGAATTTTTATATATAGCTTTTCACAAGCCTGAGCAATTAGATTATGATTTAAAATGTAAATATCTGACAGATGTTCAACTATTAGAATCATACCTAAAGATACAGAATTTGCAGTTTATCTTGTGATTACTAAAGAAATAACTATTAGTTTTAAAAATTTTTATTTACAGAATAATTTTAACAAAAACAGTCATTAACTTAATTATTATTTTAGGAAAATCTTGAATGTGTACTTGGCTGTTTCTTGCTGCTTTAATTGTTGTTGCAACTGACTGGTCTGTATATAAAATGTTAAATGAAATTAAACACGCAAAACTAAATTGATAATAAAAAAATATATTTGCACAGTTTTTAGAAAATTGATACAATATAATAATATATCATATCAGAGGTAAGTAAATTTATTTTCTCTTTAGTGGTTATCATATAGGAGTATGAATAATACTTAAATTTTTGAAAAAATATTTTCAGTTAACACTAAAAGCCTACACTAAAACTGAAGATCCATTATAAAAATATTTGAACCTCGCAATTTTTGATTGGCACTGACTGCACTAAAAGTATAAATATTATAACATTGCTATTTAATCAATATAACATCTATCATAAACAAACAGATGTTAGGTCTTAGTATAAATAAACAATAAAAATTTTATTTAGTAATTTAAAAAGCAGTTACCACTTAAAATTCATAATTCTCTAAAACTTTTAGAAAAAATTTATGCATTTTCTCTAAAAGTTTTAGATATATCATAATATTTTTACTTTTAGTAAAAGTAGAAAAATTAGCAAGCTTCGAGTTAACTATAGACATTCTATAGCGTTGTTAAAATTCAAACAGAAAAAACAATTTAAGAAATAGTTTTAAAAAAATGCTGAAATTGATACTTTTTTGAAACTACTGCTAATTTTTTGAAACTGCTATTTTAGCAGCAATAACTAAAAAAAAAAAAAAATTATCAAAATACATTTTAACTGTACTTAAAATAACTTTTAATCGCTTATACAATATTATTGCAGAACTTACAGGACTAGCAGCTTCATTAGCCAGCATATAATATTAAAAAGAAATTTCTTTTATCTTTTCTAAACAATTTATTACATAATTTAAGATTCATTACAAATTCTAATTTTTAATCAAAATTTATAAAAATTTCAAACTGTCCAACACATTCTGTGCAAAACTATTTATTTAAGTTAGTTTCGTACGGAAATTGTTTAATTTAGATTTTTAACGCAAATTAAATATTCAGAACACGTTTAAAATAGATACCTAAACGTTTAGATTGACGCAAATGCCATCTAAACGTGATATAAACCATTTTTAAACTAACAAATGCCCGTTGGGGATGATTATTAATGGCTATAACAAAGTATTTGGTTTTAAATATTTAAATAATATTTTATAAAACATAGGTTTATATTTTAAAATTTAGAAATATGGATACTATATAAATATACATAATATATAAAATATAAATATATGTTATACATATAATATATAAATATACTTAGATTATAGACTGCATACTTCGGCATCTACTTAAAACATTCTCTATAGAACCTTTATCCGAATTTACGAATTTTGTATCTATAAATTAATTAGATAAAATGTATAAAAAGGCTTTCATAATAAAAAATAAAAAGTAACTAGAGTGAGAAATTATGGTAGATTAAAGAAAATGAGAATAACTTGAACATTAAACAAAATAACAATAAAAGTTTTGTAGTAAGCAAAATTATTTGAAAAGTAAGCTCATCCATTATCAATACTCCACCAGTAGATGGTTAACAATAACAAAGCACTAAAATTTAATCTGAGTTAAACCCTCCTCATACTTAAGGTGGGTGATGCAGTATGCAATTAATGCAATTGTTTGTTCTTCTATATGGACACATTTTTCCTCTACTGTATATATGTTTATATTTGATATTTTTGATCTTTAAAAGTTTTTTTTGTGCTTCAAATAATTTTCTTTTTATATAACAGCATCAATCTTTTATTTTGGCACTTTCATTATCGAATTCTCCATTTGATTCTGTTTTTATGAAAAAGACAAATATCTTAACACAATATGTAGATGTAAAAACAGGAACATTTTACATGAACAGTTATACTAGTTAACATAATATTTGGGATTTGAGTGAGAATTGAATTTATTACAACACTTGAGATTCTTTTCTTTAAAACATCTCTTCATATTAGACTAATCTGTTTGAAATTAATTTATAAACGAAATAAAGAACAATTAAAAAGCTTGAAGAATTTCTTAAAGTTTAACTTTTAAACATAATTCCATTTAAAAAAAATACAAAGAATTACTCTAAAGAAAAAAACCATTAAAGGCTTCACAAAAAAGTTTACACGTAAAGTATAATCATATTTCAAATTAAAAAAATTCTCCTCAATTTAACATTAGAACAATTACAAATTTACAGTGAAATCCAATTAATTTTAATATAGTCTAGGATAATAAAAAAAGCATTTGCCAAGTTGCATAAACCAGGGGTTTGCAACCTTTTGAGACGGAAGAACCATTAGTTACAATATACAAAGTTTTTCAGTTTTTAAAGAGCTACTAAAATCTTTAGTTTAATATTACATCTAGGGAGTCTTGAAAAGGACTTGAATGTCACAAAAAGATTACTTCTTCCTAGTTTTTGATATCCAGCAGCTCTAAAAATATTAAAACGCCTATGGATTACTATTGGTAAAAAATTTAAATTTTTTAGGTTCGAAGAACAATCTCTTTTTGAACCCAGAGTCCTTAGGTATAATGGCGGCAGGACTCTGGGACTCCAGGCTTAAAACAATATGTTTCAAGTCAATAAATTTCATTTTTTATTTAGCAGTTCATAAATTAACCAACATGTTTTACAGCTTTTGGATACCAGAGACCAGAAAAAAATAGAGATATAAACCCGGAATCCTTTTGGGACTCCGAGTTTCTGATTGTACTAATATTTTTGCATGTCAAGATAATAATATTTCGATGTCAAGATGCAGCTAAAGAGCTTTTCTGAAATTGATATTCATCATCTAATATGGAACCGATTGAGCTATTTTCACAAATTAAATTTGAGTACAGACCATAACCATTTTTAAAATCAGCATCATTAGCATTATTTGTTTCTGAATAAACACCTTTAGACTCAGATAAGTTGTATTTAAGAGGAAATGCACTTACATAAATCTTTTTTGAATGCACAGCAGAGTGGTACAACAATAACTTAATAAAAATAATAGCATTACGAGTAAACATTTTGTGTGTAGATATTTAGTTTTGTATGTCGGGTCTTTTTTAAGCACAAAACGGTTTTTTAAAAGTAGAAATATAAATTATAGGATAGGAACTAAAATACTGAAGGTTGAGCGACTATTTAACACAGGACTGCAAACGCTGTCTAATTTTCCTTTTTTTAAATAGTTAAATTTATTTATGGACAAACCCAAGGACTTCCAAAGCACGTCTTACGGACGCCTTCCGTTTCCTTCAAGCAGTGTAAAATATTCTTTGGCTAAATTCATTTTAAACATCAGATTTTGCTTAAAGTTTAAATTACTCTTAAGAGTAAGACTTAATGAGTTATAACCCAGACCCTTTCAGTTAAAAGACTAACCTTAACCTAACCTTAACCTTTTCAGTTTAAAGACTTAATGAGTTAAAACCCATACCTTTTCAGTTAAAAGACTTACACGAGTTATGACCCATACCTTTTCAGTACAAAGACTTAATGAGTTATAACCCATACCTTTTCAGGTGAAAGACTTAATGAGTTATAACCCATACCTTTTCAGGTAAAAGACTTAATGAGTTTAACCCATACCTTTTCAGGTAAAAGACTTAATGAGTTATAACCCATACCTTTTCAGGTAAAAGACTTAATTAGTTATAAGTGCTACTTTTATAAAAATATTATATGTTATTATTCAGTATTAAATATTATAATTATATATAACCTTGCAATGCTAAATATAACATAATAATATATAGTACTGCAAAACATTCATTTTTATAAAGAACTGTTTTAAATTATGTTGGTTGTGTATACATGCGCTAGTATAAGAAGAATTAAAAAGCGGATTATGAATTTGAAAAATGTATTTACAAAATCAAGAAATATCATTAAATATCATTAAAAATATCATCAATGTGATAATCTTACCGATCTTTACAATAATCT